AGTAAATTGCAAGATCAGCATCTACAAGGTGTGTACAGTGGGATATCCAAATAAAGCACTTCCAACAATCATAATTAAGGCTTCACCAATGTGTTTTAATATATTGTAAAGAGCATAACGGCTGCAGAACTAGAGAAACTGACTACCCCTAGATGGAGGTGACCCTCAAGGATCTGGAAAAAAGTTAGCCTCTAAATTTGACAAGCGGCTCTCCATCACTATATCTGCACAGGGCCCAGAAATTTAGGGAAAGGGTGTTGTTTACAAGGCATTTCACCCTATGGTATTTTGTTCATATTGTGCAGCCCTAATGAGGACCAGGGATGTGAATTCTGGATAATTCTGATATTCAAGTACCCATAAGAGTTAAAGAATGGACATTTGGTTGAGCGAGAGAGGCTGCCCCTTCAGATGAGCTAACATTTGAGCTTACAAGAGCAGTATTCTCACAGTAGATGATAATAGCCCAGTTAGTTAGTTTGTTAAGGTAATATTGAGCAGAGAAATATCTTCTCATTTTTTCTTATAGCTAGAGTTGAGTATTCCTCCCTTTTTTCAAAACTAACACCTTGACTTTAATATAAATCCCTAAATGATACTTTTTTTCGAGGCCTTCTTTTAAATTATATATGGGAAATGGGCGTGGCTTAAACCAGAAAGGAGTGCAAGCAGCTAGAAATGAGCACATTTACTGACCGCAACAGATTGCAGAGTAATGAACAAGCACTGTTAATAACACGCATATGGAATGTAATTTACACAGACAATCAGCAGTCTAGGTTTTGGAACAAGCATGCTTATTGGATCAGTGATGCTGACAAGACGGAGCACTTAGGTACTAAAATTTAGTATTGACAGAATCTTTGCATATTATAACAGGTAGTACTGAAGTAACCCTTCAGTACCATAAAAGTATTCAATTTCAATACCCAGCATAGTTCTAGCTAGTGCCAGCAATCATAATTAGTCTCAAAATCTACAGCTACCATTATCTACAGCCAATATTCTCCTACTGCATAATGGCCAAATGAGAACCACAAATATGAACAAACGTGTCACGCTTTAAAGGTTTGTTATTACAAAAATCTGTTTTTAACAGGGTTCGATTACCATGCAGCCCTTTCAAGAGGACAGAAGTAGAAGAAAGAATGAGCCATGACACCGTGGCATGTTGGCAAATATCTTTATAAACATAACAGAAACTGAGATAAAGCTTAAAAAAGAGGAAGCATGTTTCGCATGTGTTCGAATGGCCCTTTAAGCTGCAATACGTAAGGTTTGGAGATCTGGAGAAATGTGTAATTGCGCTTGGTAAAGGATGTGTCTTCTGAGGATATAAGTGAATTCTCTACTATTGTCAACACATCATCAGTATAATGTTCATTTTGCATCTATATAGGACTAAATTTTTAGCCGAAAGATGCTACATCTTTTAATTTTAACAAAAAAAAACTGTATAGTATATAATAGTGCAACTTCAAAGCATGTCTGCACTTGGCGAATAAAGCACCCACAGACAGATATACTGTCCTTGAGTTACTGCCTGCAGCAATGTGACCGGCTTCACATGAAAAGGACAAAAATAGTGTCAGAACACCACATGCAAACAGGACGGGACACCACCCGGGATTAAATCACCCGTCATGAGTGTGTGTGCACATCCAGAAAAACGCCATTACACACCCGACTCTCAGATCTTTATGAAGGAGTGAAAAGCAACAAGCCCCTTATACAACACATATGTGCATGCCAATGTGCATATGTGTGTCTTTTCGTTCGAAGAGGATCTGTGGGCCAGGGATTGTGGGAAAGAACAGACAGAACAAGGAGGCGGAAGGAAGGGTTGAGATGGTTGGCAGGGAAGTGCAGGCAAAAACACACAAAAACATCCACATACACACACACAGAAACACAGACAGGCGTGTGAAAGGAAAACGACTCGCATCTCTTAAGGAAGTGCCTCCGCTCAGAGGATACTGAGGAAAGATATGGAGGGGCAGAGTGCCAAACCCAGACACACACTTCTTCACACAGGGTTTTACGTGTAGTGTGCGTGTCTGCAATGCTTGTGTGTGCTTCATTGCACAACCTGAGTACAAACTATCTGAAGTGGTTTTACGTGCTCTTTGTCTTAAGATATTCTTTTTTGTGTCAGAGGTTGTTTGTGTGTGTGTGTCTGTCTCTTTGTTTTCATACAGAACAAAATGCCCTTTGAACTGACAGAGAACTAAAGGACCAATTTAAACAGCTTGCAATATTAACAGTTGTAAAATTCTTCAATATAGTAGTTCATGGCTTCCCAAAGGCATCTAAAGCTGAACTGATGATCGCGTCCACAATAATGATGAAAAACACCTAGTTTTTTTAAAGCACATAAATTTGAAACTCCTATGTAGCAGTCCTTTTCCAGCAGGGGGCGTTATGAGCATGCAAGTCACTTTAGCATTCATCCACTTCTAAATTTTAGCCAAATCTAAACTTTCAAATCTTCTGATGCTGATGATGTTTTTAAAAACAGAAATGTTCATGTAAAAAATTATGTTTACTTAGATTTAGGTGGGCCTTCTGGGGGCTCTTCCCTTGTACGTTAAAAAAAATGAGAAGAGAGATGATAAAAAAATAAATAACAAAATCCAACAAAATCACTAAGAATATGTTCATATTCACAAGACATATGTACAATATTTCTATTCAAGACTTTATAAGTTCTGCTGTTTATTTGGGTTTAATCAATGTGACGGTGAAGTAACAAATTAGTCAGTAGAGCACTGCTTAACCAAAACTATTCATTTTTCTCCACACTGTAAACAAATTTTCGCCTAATATTATTACTTACCAGAATTTTTAGCTATTTGAAACTTGTATCATTAACAAAATTAGGACGCATCTGTCAAGCCCTCTTACATTGATTATATGAGGTGTTCATATAATACATATGAGATGCATGCCTCCATGCTCTCACAAGGTTTAAAAACAAACATGCATGTGTATGTGTGTGTTTGCGTGTGTGGAAGCGCGTTTATGAAAAGACGGACAGCCCAAACCGCACACTGTGTGATAACCTTTGTCAGCGTCATTGTGTAATCTCTAAAATGTAGGTTGGAAGCCAAAGGCAACACAGGCAGTAAATATCCCCCAAAAGCAGGGGGACTGCGAATGCTTCTGACCAGCTAAGCACTTCTAAATGATAAAAAGAGTTTAAGAGCTAAATCCTAATACATACAAACAGTCATACACACACACACACACACACACACACACACACACACACACACACACACACTTATCAGGAATACAGCCTTCTCACAGCTCTGTTCCCAACCCAGAAACTATTTGTTTTGCCATTTCTCTTGCCAAGGAGTTAATCTGCAGTACTTTCTCTCTCTCTCTCTCTCTCACACACACACACACACACACACACACACACACACACACATATATACATATATACATATATGTGTGTGGGTGTGTGTGTGTGTGTGTGTGTGTGTGTGTGTGTGTGTATGTGTGTATACAGTCATGCAGTTGATTTCATTGTAGTCCCTCTCATTATCATAGGTGTTTGTTAAAGAATGAGGGTTAAACTAGGTGTAAGAGATTACAAGAATTTAAAGTGTAGTGTAATCACATTATAGTTACTGACTTCATAAGAAGGGACATAGCCATAGTGTGACCAGTTCCTACATGGCATGAAGCATGGCCACTCTTCTGGCCACCCTAGTTAAACAAGGTCAGTCATCATCAATTAAGCAATCACCAGAGACATTCTTTCCTACCAGCACTTGTTGTCATGACTTAATATTTACCAGACGACTAGCTGTCATTACCATAGTAAAAAAAGCTTGAGTGTTCTGGACATAGGGGTTGGTTCTAGCAGCAGATGCTGTGGTTTGAGGTGTGAGATGTGCACTGCAGAAGAGTTTCTGTTGTATTTCAGTAAGTTTAGCCTCAGGCTCTCTGCCCACAGAAGTACAGAGACTGTCTGATGTAAACTGCATGTTTGAATCACCACAGCAGTCAGAATCTCACCACTCACAGAGAATTTAAATTGGCTCCGGTCCATGCACTGCCCAGGGTGAGGTACAGGTATAGTCGCTGAACCACGAAACATTCATGATATCCCATTTTAAAGCGTTATTTCTGAATTGTGTTTGAAACCTTAAGTAGCAAGTAAGAGAGACATCCCTGAGCATTCGCCCAACAGTTCTCCAAGTTTGTGTTTGTTTCATTAAACAGTCTGTGACTGGATGTTTTGCATGTCTGTCAAATGGCCCATTCCTACTGCAGTTCCCTAAACCTACCCAGTCTGGCTTACAAGCCTGTATTTCAGTGAAGTCTTACATCCAGCTTGCAGGGCAATTGGTTTCATTTCCTGTAGTATGTCTGTACTATTAAAGCACATTGGGCTTTGTGTTTAACAGACAAACTGATTGCTGTTCTCTCTTCCTGCCTATTCACTGCAGTTTTACCACTGCTGTACTTCTGGCACTGCCCTCAACTAGTGATTGCTGCCCGTGAGACATGACACCTATGCAGGTATGTTATTTAGCAGGGTAGTAAGGCTTGTTGTGATATGTGTGATGACCGCTTTCTCAACCATGCCCTGTAAATATAGTATCCTTTGCCCAGTAGCACACAGTGTTACTAAAAAAAAACTGATGGTGCACGTTTGTATTCATGCATAATAATATAGTGGTAGTCATCATAATGAAAGTGATAGTTATGTTTTTCACCAAGCATAATTAACTGTCTTGTGCAGAGCAGAGGCATGGATGTGGACATGGCTTTTAAATGACATTCACTGTAATTGGCTATTTCTATTTTCTCTATTTGGGTTTTATTGAGTAACACTAAAGTAAATTCATAAGTGGTGAGATTACTTTTCCAGAAGCTAATCAATAAAGGAATCTCGTTACAAACTGTGAGAGTAGTAACATAAAAAGGAACAATCCCATGTGGATAGAGAAAAAGACTGACTTTGTGAAGTGTGTGACTCTTACGTGTGCATCTGTAGGTTGTGGCAGAGATGCTGGGCTGAGTGTTGGTGATCCTGCTGGACTACACAGTTCGGGGAATGGGTTGGGGATGGCCGGCAGAGATGCTGGCCGCACTTGCTGCTCCTCCTCCTGCAGACGCCTGCCGAACAGCAGTCACAACCCACTGTTAAAGCCCATTCTGTTGCATTTTGTTCTCTTCGGTTTATTTTAACACTATCTTTATTAAAACGTAAACTTGATCTTTAAAATATAATCAGACACCAACACATTTATTAAGTTTTTGACTAAATGTCTGCAGCAACAGTGTGCAACAGATTTATTTGCCTCCAGCTGAGCCTCCTGCAGTTTTATTGTAGCTCTAATCATATCCACCTCTCTCTCACAGCCAAATACTCATTAAGGTGTGTTAAATTAAGAGTATATAAAGAATTAAAGACTGGTTAATGTGACTTTTCCTATATAACACAGTAGAACTGAGATCTTCAAATCGAGACATTGTATCCAGATTAAGGTTTTGGATTTTGTGATCACTGGTAGGTATAAAACTAGGCAGCCAATCAGTTATGTCAACAGTTCAGTGCACCGTCATTTACAGATTCCGGGACTGCAAACTGGACTCAAGTTTGGATTTGAAGATCTCTGTGTCAGAGTAACACTTCGTCCTAACAGCACGTGACAATGACAAAACCAAAACGCTCCCATTATAATTAATGAAGCTATCTATAGCAGCTGTGAGCAGCAGAGCATGGTGTGGTGCGACACGGCGTTTTTGACAGACGCAACGTTTCTATTTTTAATGTGCCGCATCGTTCTGCCAAAAAGGATGAGGAGAATCTCATCCATGAAGTGAAGAAAATGAGGGATTTGTATGACCCAACAAACTGGTAATTTCCACATAAGTGGGGAAAAAAACAAGATATAATTTCATCTCAGATGGCTTTAAATAAACAAAAATAATAATAATAATTACAATAATGTTACTTCTATTAGAAATGCATGTTTGTTTATTATTACTTTATTGCTTATTTATGTGTATTTTAAGAATTTGTTTATTTTCCTTTTCCTTTCTCAATGTTTTTACCTTCTCTGCTTTCCAAAGTTCGCACCCCAATCACTGATGAAAAAGTTAATTATTTTACTTTGTCGTATTTTATCATATATTATTTGGTCATTATTATGTAATAGCAATGAGTCAGTCACTTAAGGATGGGTGTCAGTGGTTTTACCACAGTTAAGGGCCTTATTGCTGTATTCTGCTCTCAAGTAAAATGAGGATCTGAACTATGAAAAGGACTACAGTTCTGTACCACCACACAGCAGTCTCTTTAACGCTTTAGTACAACTCTGAACTGCAGTGGTGGATGAGAGAGATGAAGGAGATTTAGAAAAACAGCATCATGTAAAAGATACGCATCATAATGAGCCGCTCTACATGTCGGCCTTCTGTTCTCCTTCTCTCTCTGCCTGCAGTCTCACTTTGTCTCTCTTTTTTTCTCGAACACACGGTCCTCTTCAGTTCAACTGCAAGTGACATCTCTCAGTTTCTCTCTAATACAGAGAGAATATATGAATGAAGCTGGAAGGCTGAAAACTTTCGTTAAGCAGCTCCCTCCTTCCTCAGAGGAGAGAAACGAGTGCGCGAGAGAGCGGGTTCATGAACTCGCGTGGTGTTACGGCGAGTTCAGCAGACAGCCTCGCAGCCAATGGCGGCTCAACCTGCATCCGCATGCTTTGATCTAGATCAATAAGACTGGGAATAAACGCAGGCCTGCTGCGGCGCAGCCAGAGCCGTACAAAGAAACCGAGAAAATGATTTTTTTCTGAAAAAGTGAAGCGTAACGGAGGGGGGTTTGACGCCTGGAGTTCACGGCCGAGTCAGAGTGGGAGAGAGGCACGTGTGCGTGACTGTGTGTGTGTGTGTTGAGTCGGAAACCTTTGCGTGAACCCGTCTCGGTGCTTATGGGTGTAACACCCCGCTGTCAGCGAAAGTGAAAAGGAGAGCAGAGAGAAAGAGAAAGAGGGAGAGAGAGAACTGAAAGGTGATGAGCAGAACAGCTCATTATGACACGCAGCTCAGGAAGGATTTGTATGAGGGTGACGGATCGAGGGAGGGAGGAAAGCTGGGGTCTTCAAAAGGTAACTAGTTTATAACCCACCCCAGAGCGCTGAAGCAGCTCAAACTGAACAACACAAAACCCTTCTGTGAGGCTGCTCCAGAATTTCATCATCATCATGTATACTGAGTATATTTCATAAAACTAGGGCTGTAACTAACAACTATTTCTATACATGTCTAAAGTCTACAGATGATCATTCAATTCAATGACTCATCAAATCCTTATGTTATGCAAATCATTATGCAAATACAATGCTTACTTCAGTCTTGTTCATTTTTTTCAGTTTTCACAAATGATAGACAAGCAATATATGGAGTTATGGAATAAATGAAGTTTGGGGGGAGGACCATGCCTGAAACCCCTCCTCCTTCCAATCTAATGCCCTATAAATTCCCATCTATACTCTGTTTCCTGAGACAGTTTTTGCTGCTCCCACTACCAACCCATCTCCTCCCTGTTCCTCAGTCTTATGCCAGTCCTAACACAGTAATCACTTTGAATAACCAGCCGTTCTCTGATGTCAAGGACACTGGGTTTTGTGGCACACATTGGATACTGTAGCCTACATCCTTTAATCATTTAAGTTTATTTCATGAAAACTGTCATAATATTGTCATTTTTTTGGTTTCGGTTTTCGGCGCTCTGAATTATGGTTTTGGTTTCAGCCAAGAATTCAGTTTTCATGCATCACTACTTGCAACAGCTCTGTCCACCTTTAGAACATCAACATCCCAAGCTCAAGTTTCAACTTTTCTCAAACATGAGCAAGCAATGTGCCACTGGTATTACTGATCTGCATTCCTCAGTCAAATATGTGACGCACAAGTTATACAAAATGTCCCAGGAAAACCAGAGAAAAACAGAGATAATCTACTTCAGGTAAAGCACATTTACGGCAGCTCCATACAGGCTCCCACATGACACTACCACCCAACTGCCCGATCATTGGGAGATCACAAGTTTGATCCCGAGTGATGGCTGGCCAGCAGTCCAAGACGCCATAATTGCCTGTGCTCTGTCTGGGATTGCCCTCCTTTTCCCCCCATCAGCCAATGTGATGTTAGCCAACCTTCCAAGTGGGGCACCTTCCTAGTGGGTGGAAACTGAACATGAATAAATTGGGGAGAAAATTTGCTAAAAATCCAGTAAGCTACACGCTTCATTATCAAATCTGGTTAGATTACTAATGTTAAGGTTAGGTTAGAATTGGTCAAGAATGCTGTATTCTTTCTCAGAGGCTTTGTTATACATATAAGAACCATTCTACAAAATTAGTTCAAACCTCTTTAAAAAAATGAAAGACCTTAGATATTTATGAGGATAATGTTATGATCTATTTAAACCCAAGGCACTACAAAACCATCATTTATAGGGATCTTTCTATTGGGAAGTGGCTGTCCAAAACCCTAACCACAAATGTTAACCTGTGAAAATAGCAATGCAGTCTGCCTTTACAAACATTTGCGAAAGAATGGGTCGTTCTAAAGAGCTCACTGAATTTGAGTTTGGCACTGTTATAGGATGCCACCGTTGCAACAAGTCAGTTCGTGAAATTTCTTACCTCCTAGATATTCCACGATCACTTGTGAGTGGCATTATCGAAAATCGTTTAAGAACCACAGTAACTCTGCCACGAAGTGGCAGACCACGTAAAGTTACAGAGCGGGGTGACTGAGTGCTGAGGTGCACAGTGCATAAAAGTCACAAATGCTTTGCTGGCTCAATAACTGTAGAGTTCCAAACCTCCTCTGGCTGTAACATCAGCACAAAAACAGTTTGCCAGGAGCTTCATGGCATGGGTTTCCATGGCTGTGCAGCTGCATGCAAGCCTATCACCACCAAGCACAATGGCAAACGTCAGATGGAGTGGTGTAAAGCATGCTGCCCCTGGACTCAGCAGTGGAAACGTATTCTGTGGAGTGATAAATCAAGCTTCTCTATCTGACAGTCTGATGGACAAATCTGGGTTTGGCGAATGTCAAAAGAACGTTACCTGCCTCAATGCATTGTGCCAACTGTAAAGTTTTGTGGAGGAGGGATAATGATATGGGGTTGTTTTTCAGGGGCTGTTCAGTATGACTGTGTACCAGTGCACAAAGCAAGGTCCATAAAGGCATGGCTGAATGAGTTTGGTGTGGAAGAACTTGACTGGCCCTCACAGAGCCCTGACTCCAACCCCATCAAACACTTTTAGGATGAACTAGAACAGAGATTGCGAGCCAGGCCCTCTCATCCAACGTCAGCGTCTGACCTCACAAACGCTGTTCTAGATGAATCAGCAAAGATTTCCACAGACACTCCAAAATCTTGTAGAAAGCTTCCCAGAAGAGTGAAAACTGTTATAGCTGTAAAGAGGGGACCAACTTCAGAATGGGATGTCATAAAAGCTCCTGTAGGTGTAGAATAGTTGGTCCCCTCTTGACAGCTATAACAGTTTTCTGCTTTTATTTTATTTCTGTCCATATAGTGTAAACGCGTTCCCAAGTCTGAATATCAGTGTGTAACATTAAGAAGTTTCACTACCAAAACAAACATTCTCTACAATTAAGTAAGCTTTTTTGTGTTTTAATGAAAAACATGATTTTATGTGTGTACAACTGTTTAAAGCTGTATTTGCTACTCATGTACTGAGTAGCGTTTAAGTTATGCTTAAACTTAGCTAAAATTGATTCTACTGAATCATTTGGTAATTTGACAATGTTTCAGTAGTGTTATGATTGTTTGTTAGTGACAAAATGAATTTTTCAATGATTTATTTTAATAAAATAAACATAAGGTATAGGGTCACTCAAAGCAAAGGGATTTTAGCCTAAAGTCCAAGTTAGTTAAATGTCTGAAATGCAGTTTGAACCCTGGCTGTGAAGCAGTTCAGCAGAATGATCTATACACAATGGTGCATGTGTACATATGCGAGACATATAAACACACACATTGTATGTATCTACCTCACATCCTGACAAGATAAAATAAAATACATGTGCATACGTGTTACCTAACAGCCAGTATGTGCATGGGTTGTGAGCGGCGGACGTTCTGGGCGGGGGAGTGAGGGGCGGCCGCCCGGCTGCTCGGAGGACGCAGGGGGTGAGGTGCTCTGTTGCCCTGGAAACCGTTGCCGTGGCCATTGTGCAGGAGCGGGGTGGAGTCAGAGTGCTGGGTTTTGCACATGGAGTAGAGGCTCTCATAGGGCGAGAGGGAGGTCATGTCATTCACCAAAGCCTCCAAATCTACATCATCATCTGCAGGGAGGGAGGGAGAGAGTGAGCGCAAATAATTCATTTCATTCACCATGTCACTGAGCAGAGCACTTAGTGTCACCCTTACTTTCACCTTTACTTTCAAGCCCAGCTGTTAATGCAAGTTAAAAAGGGATTATAAAAGGTGAAATGAACTGGCCCTCAGGCCACAGAAGCCTCTGACAAATGCAGAATACATGCCATGTAGACAGTTGATCTAGTGATCATGAACCTATCACAGAAAAACTTTGACAAAGCCACTGGCTGTACTAGATTTAACTCATTTAAAAAATAATCCTTTAAAGTTTACCTTCTCAATAAATTAGCAGTTAGTAAGTTTGCAATTTACATGATGATAATGCATATTTTAAATTCTACTGCTCTCTCTTACAGAAACAGCCCGGTAGATATAACCATTTATGTGCATACCTTGCCACATAGTGTGTGTGTGTGTGTGTGTGTGTGTGTGTGTGTGTGTGTGTGTGTGTGTGTGTGTGTGTGTGTGTAATTATATATCTTTTCTTCAATAAACTATTTTGTTTTTTGCTCAGTTAAGTCCACTTTTGTTTGTTGAATGAATTAATCATCAATAATAATCAGTAGATCACTCAATCACTCTTGTAATCAGTAGTGACAGCCCTAATATAGCGGTATGCTTTTTCAGGACCAACATAACTGTAAAGATGGAGCTTAGTAATGCTTTCAGAAGCATTACTGGAATTAAAGGAATAGTTCTAGGAACAGTTCAACCACACTTGCTAGTGTTGCTATTAATAAATTGAAAGGAGTAATTACTCATAAGCATGATAGGATTTGAAAAACATCAGTGAACAATTCATTATCATTCTTTGTTAGCAATATTAGCACTACTGACTGAGCCATTGCTTTAAAATATGTACATACACAACACTCTCTCTCTCTCATATTCAAACAGGCACTTAGACACATGTATGTTGCTTGAACACATCATATAGTTGCATAGTTTGAAATGCAGAGTGAAAACATATTCTACTAAACTGAAGACATTTCCACTCTTACAGACTCAGAGGTTAACACTTTAAAAGTTATGATCAAGTTCCACCACTAGGTGTCAGCAGTTAATTAACTGACAGAGATGAACAATTCATCAATGTATGGAATATATTCATTTCATAAGCTACTTCCAGTTGAGCCATGAAACTGCCTTTACACGTCCAAGAGTTTTCATTTGTGTGAGCAGTTCATTTCCTATGACAAGAAAAAGATATGACTTGTTTATTCTTTTTTCTATTCTGTAAGTGACAGCTTTTGTTCTAGAGGCTGTCTGTCTCTTGCAATGTGTCTTCCCAAGTGTCATCTCATCCCAGAGTTCCCTGTGTTTGGAAACCTTAATGGGAGCTTACTGTTTTGCTTAATTGCTATGGAATTAATGTGTTTCTTAATACCAAGATCAAGGTTCGCTTTAGGGGGTAGTCTGCACTAATGCACATTTTAAAAGACAGCTGCCAGAAATCGCATTCCTTATGGTCACTTTGCAGAACATCTAGACAGATCGGAATGTTTCACTTCATTCTGCTGTGTAGTCTCAGTCTGTGTCTTTGCAGCTGATTCGTGTCCACTTTTTGGCCTAGTCCAAACACTGACCCTATATGAACCATGGAGATGGTCCACTCTGGCAGGGTTGAAAAAATGATAATACCTTATAAGCACTTACTGCAGACCTCAAAGCAGTGTTGGAGGATTGACCATATACGGTACTGTGAAAAAGTCAGAGACCACCCTAATGTATTTAATCTCCAGTCCAAATGGCCAATACACATAAGTAATTTTTCAGGAGGAGATTGGATATAAGATAATCCACCTGCACAAGGAAAGGGAAAGTCAGAGGAAAATAAGTGGAAAAAACAGGAGTTTCTAAAAGAGTTTAAGATTAAACAATACTGAAAAATGGGACTCCTAACAACTATGAAAGGCCTGGAAGACCACCAAAACTGTTACCACCCAGCTCTCACTGGTTTTAAGCAACACTCAATTGCAGAACAAACCTTTTCTGTGATACTGGGTGCATTGACAGCTACATTTCCTCACAAACAACAGGTGACCGCAAGTGAGCACCACCCTCAGGTTCTATTCAAGACACAGCAGTCTGTAAGCTTGTACTCAGTAAGTGGGTCAATATATGAACACATGCATACGCGCACACACACACACACACACACACACACACACACACACACACACACACACACACACACACACCTTTCCCTCTCTACTCATTGAACATTTCTCATACTCATTGCACACATACAAAGTAGGGACAGAACAACAAGAGCCAATGAGATCACAAGAAAGGAGCATGACCAAGAGAGTAACAACAGACTTTTATTTACTTATATCCTTTATGCAACTAGGAAATCATTCTTAGATCAGTTAATTGAAAAAACTTTCATAACAACCTCACTTTGTACCATGTACAGCACACTCACGCACAAAGCATCCTCTTTCAAAGTACTCATGCCAGATACACTGACCGGTCACTTCATTAAGTACACTTCTTTGTATGTACGCTCACTGTCCAGTTTATCAGCTCTATACAGTTGCACACATATAGATTGTAGGTCCTATGGTCCTCTTAGCCCCTTTTCACCCTGTTCTTCAATGGTCAGGACCCCCACAGGAGCATCACAGAGCAAGTATTATTTGGGTAGTGGACCATTCTCAGTGCTGCAGTGACACCAACGTGGTGGTGGTGCATGTATGTGTAAAAAATTACCAGTAGATTTCCATAAAGTTCCATAAAACAGACAATTCCATCACTCTGTTAAATAACAGTATACACCGATCAGTCATAACAGTGTGACCACCTCCTTGCTTCTATTCTCATTGTCCATTTTATCCGTTGCACTTACTATATATGTGCACTTTGTAGTTCTACAATTACCGACCGTAGTCCATCTGTTTCTCTGCACACTTTGTTAGCCCCCTTTTACCCTGTTCTTCAGTGGTCAGGACCCCATGGACCCTCACAGAGCAGGTACTATTTGGGCAGTGGATCATTCTCAGCACTGCACTAACACTGATTTGGTGGTGGTGTGTTAGTGTGTGTTGTGCTGGTATGAGTGGATCATAAACAGCAGTGCTGCTGGAGTTTTTAAACACTGTGTCCACTCACTGTCCACTCTGTTAGACACTCCTACCTTGTCAGTCCACCTTGTAGATGTAAAGTCAGAGACGATAGCTCATCTGCTGCTGCACAGTTTGTGTTGGTCATCCTCTAGTCCTTCATCAGTGGTCACAGGACGCTGTTGGCTGGATATTTTTGGTTGGTGGACTATTCTTAGTCCAGCAGTGACACTGAGGTGTTTAAAAACTCCAGCAGCACCGCTGTGTCTGATCCACTCAGACCAGTGCAACACACACTAACACACCACCACCACATAAGTGTTACTGCAGTACTGAGAATGATCCACCACCTAAATAGTACCTGCTCTGTGGGTCCATGGGGGTCCTGACCACTGAAGAACAGGATAAAAGGAGGCTAACAAAGTATGCAGAGAACAGATGGACTACAGTCTGTAATTGTAGAACTACAAAGTGCACCTATATAGTAAGTGGAGCTGATAAAATGGACAATGAGAATAGAAACAAGGAGGTGGTCATAATGTTATGCCTGATTGGTGTATATGCTGTGTATGTACAGGACAGTTCCTTCACATCATAGACAAAACATTCCATATTTTTACAGTTTGACCCGTTAAAATCATGTATGCTTCCTTTAAATCAAAAGAGAAAAAAATGTGTATCACCCCAGAACTCACCTAACACATCTGTTAGCTGATATCAGCCATAACTGATGGTTAGCTTTAGAGGTATCACTGAAAATATCACAATATAATGTGTCAAGTTGTGGCATCATCAGGATTTAGACATATGATATCCTGATATCCTCCCAACAGAGAAGAACCTTACAAGGCTCCCACCTGAGAGCCCAGTTAATGACTGCTAAGCTCAAAGTCACAACATGTTTACTTTCATCACAGCAAGGCAGGACAAACTGCAAAGAGAGCAGTACCTTTGGTTTTAAGAGGAAAAATAAAGTTAAAGTTAGACCTTATAGGCAAGAAGTCCCAGACATGACTTAACATTAACGTTATTAACAAGTTATTTTGAATGCAACTGCTTTATTTACATTGTTATTGCTATTACTGATGCAATACTACTACTTCTAAGAAAAAAAATGATGATGCCATTAAATGAAATATCATTATGCAGTTAATCTAATTAATAACTATGTAATTAATGAACAAAACTGGCACTCGGAAAAGCTTCTATTTTACTGTCCTGTGTTTTTAAAATGAAGTGGAATCATTAGAACCTACAATGAGTGAAGCTTTAATGTAATTTATTGTGTGTGTGTGTGTGTGTGTGTGTGTGTGTGTGTGTGTAGAAGAGTCTTCTAACCCCAGGTAGGGGGGCTTCTTGTCCCTATAGGGGGACAAGATGCTTATTTCAGAGATTTTACTTTTTGTGCTATGAAACAAAACCTCCTGTTCCAGTTTATGTCTCAGAACCGTGTGTAGGTTTATGCACCATCCTGTACATGCTAAACCTATACAGCCTTTACAGTAAATGGACACTGTCCTTAAAGGGGACATTTCCTCTCATAATGCACATTGTAAATGTCACTGAAAACCACTGGTGTCCTATTAATGACTGATTACACAGTATAATACAACCAATGTCAATAACAGCTGAACGTTGCCAATAAAGTTTTATAGTAGACTTTACTTCAGCTCTCATGAGAGACGAGCGCTTAGCTAACGCAGACAGATTAACCATCTTTCTCTCAGCACTCAGTTCCTCCCTCACTGTGGGACTCTATTAGTTCACAGTCCAGATTTCCAAACTCTGTGTTTATGTTTATGTGTGTGGGCACAATGTAGGTCACCTCATAAAAATCTATAGTAACCAACAGAGCATGCACATGTACCCACACCCCACAGCTTACCAGATTTCAACACAACAGGACAGATTTATAGCCTTTCTGTGTGTGTGTGTACTTATAAGTTTGTTTATGTATCTACTTCTACGCGTATTTCAAGTCGTACGTGCACGCACACTGAAATCATCAACACACTCGCACAAGTGCACACTCGCACCTGTACACATGCACATGCACACACGCACGCACACACGCACGCATGCACCCAGAAGCCCCAGCCAACAGCTCTGCCCACAGCCATAAAACAGTGGGTGATTTGGAACTGCTGCTGCAGAAGGACCAGCCAGAAAAGCTCACTGCCATGACAGAACCCTGTGACCCCTCCATCAAACGAGAGCGAATGACAGGGTCATGGAGTTTAATTTAAAAGAAATGTCGACACTTAAAAGTTTCCATAAATCAGTAAGATTAAGAATAAATGCAGCTAGCAACAAACGGAAGAAACCAAATTATATGCACATGTGCAAAAAAACATGGAATGGCATAGTTTCAAGGTTCTGAACTCTTTCATTATATTTATGCAATACAACACAAGGGAGTGTGCTATGAGGGCATTTTAGGGCCACTGTTAAAAAAGTAAAAGACAAAGTTGTAATATTTTGAGAAAAAAAGTCATAGAATTATGACATTAAAGTGGCATTAATACCAGGAAGGTAGCAACTTCCTCATGTTAAAATGAGGGGTTGGTAGAGTTACACGTTCATATCAGTTTCGCCAATAAAGGCACATCAGCACCAAATTGTTATAGTATAAGAACAGTGAAACGGCTGTGCAAGAAACTGTGTTTATTAAGAAGATAGAACCAGACGGACTCAGAAGAAATTGTCTGTTTTGTTAAAAGGAGAACTCACAGGCAGTGGTCGTCTACACATCTATTGGTGGTTACATCTTCGTGCCATTCAAAGAAGGCATGTAGTTTCACAGGAGACAATGAGAATGATAATCGAAATGAACATTCCCAAAGGAGCGGAACTCCGTCACCTCTTCGTCGTCGCCTGTACAGCAACCGAGGCCCCAACGCGTTCTGATAGCCCCCCCTACATTTAGCCTGCTTTATTCTCTAAATATTGCAAGTTTATTCTTGTAACCTTATGACTTTATTATCAAAATATTATGACTTTATTTTCAAAATGTTACGATTTTATTCTAAAAAACTTATTTCTCGAAATATGGCAACCTCATTCTCAATGTCTATTATTATTAATTTTTTTTTTAACAGTGGCCCTAAAACACCATCGTAGTGTGCTATCGCTAAAAATGGCTGATTTGGTTGTAGTTACGAACCAACAGCTACGAGTACCATAGACCATCACAGTCATGATATTGTTTGGTGTGTTCTATTGCTTTTATACAACTGTTCTGCAAAATAAAAAAGTCAAGCAAAAAAGCACCAAACATTGCATCAAATGAGCTTATCATTATCAGTAATAGTAGTAGTAATAGTAGTAATATTGACAATTCCTTCCACCAATAAGCATTAGCTTTTGCTGTGTGGAGTCATTAAACCATCATAGTAGCTCAGCTTTTTAATATTTGCAAGATTACCAAAAACTGTTATATTCCAGTAGGCCTGCAAACCATTCCACAGTCCATGTTGTTTGCTGAAGTACATTCTGTATTTTTCTGGCTAATTCCAGATTGTTAAATTCAGAATTTGATAGAAAGTACAATTAGTAAAGATTAGCTCCAGCATAAAGCAAATATGATACAGTTATTGCGAGAAAAAAAAGAGAACGCTTCTCAAACATTCAGATTGTGCTGAAACTAAACTAAACATTCAGATTGAGTCAATGCTAAACTGCAACCTTTGTGTTGCTTTGTCTGATGATTTCATCAAGTAAGATTTTCATTAAATGAGAATAAATGACACTGGAGTAAAGACATATCAACAGATCATTACTGTGAATGATAAAGCAGCAGACAAATGTATAGCTGAAGAACATTTTGTAGATAGTCATAAACTGATGAAAAACAACCAACCTGGGTGATTAGGGGTGCTGTGATTGGACGGTTGCTGGAAGCGAATAAGACCAGGCGATCCATGAGAGGACGTGTGGTCAACGTTATCCTGAAAGAGAAAACAGTGTTACAGGTCCCAGAAGTTTTTTCTGCATGAACAAAGTAAGAACTTGCATCCTCAGCTTGGAGGAGGAACATGGGAACCCAATTTCTGTGTACATAAAGTAAAAAGTGTAAATATATTTATAAGTTACCAACCAGTTCATCAGACAGCTAATCCAGCTAAGAGGCTAATCCAGTTATAGTCAGAGTTAGGCTTTACGATGAAATGTTTACTGAAAGATACACTGTAAAACATACAAAAAATACCTGAATGTCTGTTAAAAGCTTCGAAGGACCATGTGTAGGTTGGAGGTGTGTAGTATTAAACCTTTAGCTTGATGCTGATACGCTTTTGCTAAGTAGATATTAGCTATGCTTAAACAAAATATAGAAAATAAACCACAGATTTCCATGTTAAGCAATTTATATCATAATAGATGTGGCTGATGCACATGTATGAGTATTTGATTAAACAATAAAAAAAAAGTTATCATTCCGGTTTCCACTGCTCCAGAGTCCAGTGGCGGCGTGCCTTACACCACTCCCCCACACCGTTTGCCATTGTGTGTTTTGATCTTAGGATGCCACCTCTGCCACAAGTCAGGCTGTGTGTTTTGATCTTAGGATGCCACCTCTGCCACAAGTCAGGCTGTGTGTTTTGATCTTAGGATGCCACCTCTGCCACAAGTCAGGCTGTGAAATTTCTGTTCTGCTAGATCTGCCCCGGTCAACTGTAAGCAACAATAGCTCAGCCCCGAAGCAGTAGACCATGCAAACCCACAGCGTGGGGCCGGCAAGTGCTTAAGTACACAGTGCCTATCCTCTGTTGAATCACTCACTAAAGAGTTACTCTGGAAGCAACATCAGCAAAAGAACTTTGTATCAGGAGCTTCACGTTCCCATGGCCGAGCAGCTATACGCAAGCCTAAGATCAAAACACACAATGGCAAACGGTGTGGGGGAGTGGTGTAAAGCACGCTGCCACTGGACTCTGGAGCAGTGGAAACTGGAATGATGAACCCGCTTCTGGCAGTCTGATGGATGAGTCTGGGTTTGACGAATGCAAGGAGAGCATTACCTGCCTGACTGCATTGTGCCAACTGTAAAGTTTGGTAGAGGAGGGATAATGCTATGAGTTAGTTTTTCAGGGGTTGGCCTAGGACCCTTAGTTCCAGTGAATGCTGCAGCATACCAAGACATTTTTGGACAATTCTATGTTTACAACTTTGTGGGAACAGTTTGGGGAAGGCCTGTTTCCATTCCAGCATGACTGTGTACCAGTGTACCTAGCAAGGTCCATAAGTGCATGGTTGGGTGAGTTTGGTGTGGAAGAGCTTGACTGGCCCTCACAGAGCCCTGACTTCAACCCCATCAAACACCTTTAGGATGAACTAGAACGGAGATCGCGAGCCAGGCCCTCTCGTCCAACATCAGCGTCTGACCTCACAAATGCTCTTCTGGATAAATGGGCAACAATTTACACCGAGATACTCCAAAATCTTGTAGAAAGCTTCCCAGAAGAGTGGAAGCTGTTATAGCTACGAAGGGGGGCCCAACTCCATATTAATGCCTATGGGTTTGGAATGGGATATCATTAAAGCTCCTGGGGGTGTAATGTGTAGGTGTCCCAATACTTTTGTCCAAATACTGTATTTAAAAAAATGGCATATAGCTTGTTTAGCTTTAAACCTATAGCTTATTTTTTAATACAACATAATGGTAATATCGTAGACTGTGAAAAAAGGTAATTATCGTGATATTTAAAATATTAATAATAATGAAGTTACATCCAGTGGGTCTGTCTGCACTCTGCAATGAAAATAAGGGATTTCTTCTGAATCTGAAAGACCACGTCACGTCCAAGATGACCAAGATGCACATTTGCACAAACACGCACACAGCTCAGCAATGCACAGACAAGCTTAGCAAGCGAAAACAGATATGTCATTCCCAAAATATAAAAAATAAAAAGAATCACACAATGGCCCTTAAACACTTTCTAATTTAAAGCAGCCCCACGAATCCAAAAAAGCTGTAGAAAGCTCAGCCGAGAAAAATATATGAAGCCACATTTTCAATTTCCAGTTTTCTAGGAAACCCAAGAACATGGGAAGCGGTTTCCAGGAACTGGTTTCTGCCAGAGGTCTCCTAGCTCCTCTTCTCTGGCGTCCAGACGAAAAAAAAGGAAAAATAAAGGCAAAAAAAACACAACATTTAAATTTATAGCTCTGAGAAGAGCGTCTCTAATGCCTTAGCCAGTGGAACATTAACATTAGTGTGATGGCCAGAAAGGAGGCAACAAGAGCCAACAAGACTTTTTAGGGTTTTTTTTTTTTGCACATGTCTCTGTCCAATTCATTGGTCAAAAAAGTTGCCGTTTCTTAAGAAATAAAATATTTTAAGTGCTCGTGTACTTCCAGAGAGTCGGCTTGAGCAGAAACTGGGGCAATTCTATTATCTGCAATGGCGCTGGGGAATAGGGGGGCAGAGGAATGCGAGGAGTGTATGTGTGCGTGTGTACGTATGTGTGTTGAATTTGGACGAGTTCCAGTCCTCGGGGCCATTATGTAAACTTTAACCCCCCAGCTGATTCTGCTGGCCTTGAGGATAGCGCTTTTCCTAGAAAGAGGAGTCACATGATCCTGGCTGAGACTGTGTTTCTGACAAATAGCAATTAGAAAGCCAAACCATTAAGGGCTTGACCTGTGAACTACTGGCTATAAATCGGGGCGGGAGTGCTTTTAGAAGCCAAGGCAGCACACACACGCAAGTGTGTACACACACACACACACACACACGTACTGACAGAGGCCCTAATACAATAGATTTAAGTATGAAAAGCAGAAACACATGCCATTAGGGATGGGCATTTCAGCGAAATTTCATATCTAAATTTGTAAGGCATCTTACTGCTGTTGTACTATATTAAACCCAGACCACAAACATCCACAATGACATTTAGCTTGAAATGTACACAGAAAAGACAAAAAAACAAATGCTAATTGTCTATTTTCACCTCAGAAACATGACTAGCCAAGTCGCGTCAGATTTCACCTCATACTTTCTAACTCGAAAACAGTGACTTTGTGAAGAGTTAGTTGTATTCCATTCAATCTATACATGTTCAGGGTAAAATGAAGTTGAGCTTTTTATCTGCATTTGTCTGCTATGTGCTTCCTATGTGCTATAGCTGTGCTTTGTACTGCCTGCTACTGAGCACCAAAGACCCCACAACGTGGCGCTTCTCGGCTGGAGCTTTGTAGCCTTTAGCTAGCTGCAGTAGTCTTCCTATGCTTTTTTCTTTGGATTAAACAAATAAACAGGCTCTGTACTACCCACTGGTGGAGTACAGAGTTTAGACATCGCATGTGTCTTGAAAGTGAGAACATAAAATGTTAATGAAGCTAGCTGGCACATAAAAGCCCTACTTAACTACAGATTTTTTTTTACTTTTTGAAATTTGACTCATCACTAACTAATATATTGTCATCTTTATTACAAAAATCCAGTTTGTATTCTTTGGCAAAGTGCCGGATGCCCTAACCAACAAAAAAACTGAAAAACTTCTTAAGTTATATTAACAGAAATTAAGTTAAGAAAGTTTTCTTCCCCTCTTCTGTGAACTTACCACCATAGCAATGATAAGCTAAATCATGGATCCAGTAAACGAGATATATGCAAGAAAACAAGATACATATACTCCTAAAATGATAGGATAAATGAATGGTTTTTGGCTTGGACAGTTCTAGGTAACCTTCGACTGGTATAGAGCCTTTACATTATGTGAAGTTTCTTTAAACAGTTTTTCCATACTTGCACATCTCATTTACAAAAATGGTTCTTTCAGGAATTTAGTTTTATTTATAAGGTTGGATATACATACACACAAAAAAAACATCTGCAAGAGCTCTCAGGCTCTTCAAACGTGTAGTGTGGAGAAGGCTAGCAGCTGAAGAGGCCAAACCACCACGAGAGAAAAAAAGGAAAAAAAGACAAGCCAGAAAAAATATGCGAGCCCAGCAAGCAGGCCTGCGCCCTTCACTGGGTCAAACACCCAGTGTGTGTGTGCCTCTATCTCTCTGAAATGTGCAGCTAAGTTGAGTGCACACTGTACTGAAGCCAACGCACACATACATTCCCTGGATAGTCCTTAACAACCACACATCTCTCCATGCCAATAAACCTGGCTTTCTCAGCATTTGACCTTTCACCCTAATCCTCACTATACACTTAAATAAACATTCACCAATCTTATTAAACCAATCCACAATCACATCACATCACTGACCAGCTGCAACCAGTACGGGCCGGCTGTCAACACAGGTGAGTCACAGTCTACTGGAAGTGTTATGATGAAAACCTTCAGAGAAACAGTGTGGTATCAGTTAATGCTTTTTATAGTTGAATTGCCTTATTATTTGTATTTTCGTTTTTTATAAATTTTATTTATTAGTTATTTTATTATTCTAAAAACGTTGGGACAGTATGTGAAATGATAAAAAAAAGAAAGCAGTGATAAGTAAATTCTATCTGACCTGTAAATGAAAAAAATGAAATGAAAACAGTATAAAAAACACAAAATTGAATTGTTTTACTTTATAACCATCACTTACTTTTGGCTATATATATGCATACCAAATCTGATGGCCGCAACATATTCCAAAAAGTTTGGGACAGCAGCATATTTGCCATTGTGTTACATCACCTGTGCTTTTAACAACATATAATAACCGTTGGGGACTGAAGACTTCAAATGATTCAGATGTGAAAGTGGAATATCTGCCATTGTTCTGTTATACAAGTCATCAGCTATGCAACCATACAGGGCCTTCATGGTTAATAAATCCACCGCACATTTTCAATGGAAAACAATTCTGGACTGCAGGCAGGCCTTTCTAGCACCCACACTCTCTGATTTGCCAGATATGCAGAATGTGGCTTGGCGTCATGTTGACATAAGCATGGACGTCCATGAAAACATCAGGTGGAAGACACCATATGTTGCTCCAAAGTGTTTTTCGGTGTTAATGGGACTTTCATAAATGTGCAAGTTGCCCATGCCATTAGCACTAATACACTATAAAAACCATGAGAGACCTTGGCTTTTGAACTTTATGCTGGTAACAGTCTGGAGGGTCCTTTACTTCTTCAGTTCAGAAAACAAGTCTGACTCATCAGACCTCAATACAGTTTTCCTCAATGCATCAGTCCAATTCAGATGAGCTTCAGCCCAGAGAAGTTGGCAGCATCAGAACTGGGTTGACATACGGCTTCCACAGTTCAGGTAGAACTAGGTTGACAAATGGCTTCCACTGTTGATAGTACAGTCTAACTTAAATTAAGCTTTATTGATGACGGTTTGTTGAAGTATTCCTGCGAGGTGAAATCCATCACAGAAGCATGCTGTTTTTTATTGCTGGGCTGTCTGATGGATTGAAGGTCATAGGCATTTATGCTTTTTACATGCCTTTTTTATGAGATTTTTCCAGATTCCCTGAAACTTTTGATAACATTATGCATTGTCGAGGCTGAAATACCTAAAATTCCTGCAAACACTTGTTGAGGAACACTGGGCCTCATTCACCCACCGTTCTTAAGAAGAAATCTCTTCCTAAAACCCATTACACAGTTTTCACGAAGATTCCGACATTCACCAATATTTTCTTATTTGGGATTTATTCTTAAGTAAGAGCAGGATCTATGCACATTCAAGAGCACAAAGGTGCAAACATTTTGGCAGTTTAAGAAAATGTTTTCTTAGGACCTTTTTCAAGAACAAATTAAGGGAAAAAAAGCTATTTGTGAAGGAGTTGCATTTCTTACTGATGCACTACGGCGCACCTCAACCCATCCTTGCTCAAGAAGGACTAGGCCTTTCCTAGATGCTCCTTTTATATCCAAGCATAATTACATCATCTCTTTAAAAATGTTTTCAGAACATTTAACAATGTTTCTAGTCCTATTTTGTATAAGCATTTACTCCATTTTGGAGGTGCTATGAATGGCTGCTTTCAATTCAGCCAAAGCAGGAGTGCTATTAGTAGAGGATGCAAATTCAAGAGTCAAACTTCACCCAAGTTTAAATTTAAGTCTGCAATACAAAATTGCTCATCATGGCAAACTTCACTGAAATTAATGCAATTAATAAATAATGAATAACTGCAAACGCAAGTGTGACTGAGGCTTTAGAAACAGAGGTTGGAAAATGCTCATACAAAAATGAATTCTAACTGTTTTTGGTACATAAATGTCATAAGTGGACGTCAGGGAAAAAGTAAAATACAAAGAAAATGTAGGACATGGCCCCTTTAAATAGTGACGCAAGTACGGGAATGTATTAATATTAAGATGTAATTGTTTATTGTGAACATGTAAATACTGTCATTAACGCATTAGTGTTGGTAAAGTTTTTACAATCATTAGTGGTTAATTTGAGTTTGAGGTATGTTTAGAAAGGGAATGAGATCATAATAGTATGTGAAGTAACACCTTCACAGGGGATAAAAGAACACTAGAAGGAATAAAGAGGTAGAAAGGGGCAAGCGAAAGTCCAAGTACAAAGATGTAGAGTCGTGGATAAAACCAGTCAGACTGCCAGTGTGTGCATGCTTGCAGCGGATGTTTGGGCTGCATTCCCGGCCTGGGATGACTCTGGCTCGGTGCCAGTGGCTCTCAGAAACCACCCCCTGCCACCCTACGGAGTTATATAAGCCTGCAGAAAGAGGGCAGCCCCTGCCCCTGCCCCTGCTGAGTATACCAAAGGCCCTGCCATGTTCGTTCCACTGCTGCGGAATTGGGGGTGTGGGCTGGTTGGGCTAGGGAGCTGAGAAAGTGGGGCAGAGGGAACAAGGCAATAAAAGTTCTGCAAGAGTCAGAGAGTGTAAAGGATGAGAATTTAAAAACTTAATTAATAACAAATAAAAAGTCCTACTTAACTTAATGCACACTGGTACTACTGGCTTGGTACAATGCATAGACTTTTGCCTGACTGTTATCACCACCAGCACAACAGTCACGATGATATGAACCATGATAATCTTGTGGGAGTGAGTCGATACATATTAATTTGCAAAGAGATGCAAAAAACAAAGGTACACAGATACTGTACGCTAAGGTGGCCACAGACATCAGACTCTTATCAGATTCTGACTGGCTGTCTACACTGCCATAACAGAGTGTTTCACACTGGTCTGTTTTTGTTGTAGCACTATTGTGACTATCTGCCCCTACAGAAACAGCAGTCTAAGAGTAGACCATTCTTTGCCATGCTGAGCAACAGAACACTCCAGAAACTGCCAATAACCAGAAGACTGGCTTGTATGGCTAGGATAAGCTTCTGTTTGAGCAGGCAAGTATACTCAATGTGGGACGAGTACCAGAACAAAACTAACCAAAATTTCATGTTCCAGTAACAAACACTTGTTCTATTTTCAGATGACTTTTCACATTGACATGTTTTACTGGAAATGGACCACATCAACAATCTAATTACTGTCATCATCCTTTCACAGTATCGTCTCACAAAGTGTAATCATCCAATCACTGCACAGGATGCATGCAGAGAAGTTATACCACAGATCTATGTCACGCGCTACAATAAAAAAGGCTTATGTGACATAATGCAGGCCTGCACTGAGCGATCAGTGACTGGCTGGGTGCTAAGCACAGTGTTTAGATTTTTCGCCTGGCTTGTGTCAGCACCACTGGCACATCACGATGACACAGACCATGAAAATCTCACAGGAGCAGGGTGGCGGCAGCCTTCAGAGCCAGGTGCTGCAGTTGCTTTCCAAGGGCTGTGCAAGCTGAGAGAGGCCTTGACAACAACAGAGCATAATTCTCGTTGGTTGGAAGCTCCACTGACAGAAACTGTGAACTCAGCACCATGAATTCAATGTGTAATGTTTCTGCTTATTATTTTCACATTTACAGTTTAAAGTTCTATTCATTAAACAAACATTACTGATATGATCTCTGATATTAGAACACCATGAGATCTGCCGTCGCTCAAGTAGGTGGCAGCTACTGGGCAGTATATTGGTTATGATTCTTCCTCAGGTATGAGTTTTGTCATAATGGTTATACCGAAAAGCCAAAAATAAGGGGAGATAACGCAACTTAGAAACAGTGCAAACATCGCTAACATTAGTCCTTTAAGCTGAAAGGCTGAGCAAAGGACGTTCCATTATGTTTCAAGTGAAAAAAAAAAAAGAAAACACAGCACAACCATGATCACCTCACGCTTTTAAGCCCATTGCATCTAAAGTAGTCTTCTTTGTTTCTGAGGTGTCGGGCAAAAGGAATGGCCAGTCTTTTGGGGTTAGCCTTAGCCTAACACTAAAGAAACGAGGCCTGGCTGGCCTTGTCCAGAAAGAAGACCAAGGACCAGCCAGTACTGAAGCTTGAATGAGCTGAATATTTCTCAAACTCCAGCAGTGTCTGACTGTCAGAAGCATGAGTATATGGGATGTGCGTATGAAACAAATGACTTGAGAAATTCAAAGTTTGAAATAGTAGCAGTTCCCACAAGATATACCTTGATACATACCAAAACCATCAGAAATGTGAATGATACCATGATATACATTTATGGCCATACCGGCCACTACTAGTGGCAGCCAGTAAAACGGTATGGCTTAACAGCTGTCTTCAACTCCACCTCTGACTTCAACTGGCTACTCTCTGCAACCAAGAGACGCAACTGAAATCGAACAAGACCAAACAAGCATGTACAAGTTCTTCCCTTGTTCTAAGCACATTGAATGGTTTTATACGTACTTGAAGATGACTTTGATCAGTTTCTGTATCACAGGCTGAAGGACAGAGGTGAAGGGACAAGAAAAAGTGAGTAAAATTTATTGCTAATTGCAAAAGTGTTACACCCCCTAAAGTATGTTCTGTATGTGCTGTAAAGTTCAACAAAAAAACAGTTTGAGATGTAGAGGAAATACCAGCAGGAGAGACAGAGAAAAAGCGACACCCAGGAATGCTAAAAATCTCAAGCAGCAGTCGAGTTAAAGGAGAGAGCTGGAGAGGGGAGTGAAAGATGTCCAGAGAGGGCTGACTGCGCAGCTCCAGTATAAATAGCAGCGGCCGCCACTTTGCATGTCAGCATGTCAGCTGTGCAGTGCCATGGCAGCACCATGGCGACGACAGGCATGCCGGTCAGGAGCGTGTTTGTGCATGTGCATATGCCACTTCGACCACGGGCCAAAGAAATGCTGTACTTAACATACAGTGCTCAAGTTAGCTTGCTTAGGCTGCGAAAACATCTGGACATGGTCATTTGGGGAATAGCACAACAGCAAGTCTAGTCTGAGCTAAAAGGAATTTGCAATGGAGAATCTCCATTAACAACATGAGCCTGTGTCTGTAAAAACAGCTCAGAGTTTTTGACAGAAACAACTCTATGGTTACCCGACTGCTGGAGTTCTGCTTTGAAGTATGAACTGTGAGTCAGTGCAGAGATGTTGCTACAGGTCAAATGGAGTGTACCTGGTAGTTTGGGTGGTGGAGGAAGTAGTCTGGGCATCCAGCTATAGCCATGCTCTTCTGAGGCTCCCCAGGCAACCAGTGCTACACATTCACCTGATGAAGAAAAACAGGAAAAGAGACCAATAATTTAATTCATAAGCTATAAACTTTATCATGGGGAAGCACCGGTCATGAATTTCTTTACAGCCAAATTGGCCAATGGACAATTTATTTGGTCAATTTGTATTTATTTTTTGGGACAGATGAAACACATTTCATTATGAAAGTCCATTTCCTGTACTTTCTATTAGTCAAAGTTGCAATATATATATGTATATAACATTATTGCTTTTAATTGGGATACACTGGCATTTAAAAGCCACAAATGAAAAATATGTTGCCAATTCAAACAACACGAGTCAAATAAAGATCAATAAAGGAAAAGCCAACTCACTATTTAGCACAAGTTATGCATTATGGTACAATATTTCTGTGTTGGTGCAGCTACGAGGCTGTCACAATCAAGATCTTTTTTCTGACAATTATCACATCATTATTGCGATTAATGATTGTCTTTTATGTTCATTTTATGCAACTATTAAATGTAAAAGTCTAAAGTGGTCAAGCCTGGTTAGCCACCTTGCTTCCTAGCTGTGTTTACTTACATTCACGCACACTTTATTAACAACACCTCTACACCTGCATATTCATGCAATTATCTAATCAGCCAATAATGCCACACCAGTGCAACACATAAAATCATGCAGACACAGGCCAGCAGCTTCAGGTGATGTTCACATCAACTATGAAAATGGGGGGGGGTGTGATTTAGACATGAGTGTTGGTGCTAGGTGGGCTTGTTTGAGTATTTCTATAGCTGCTGATCTCCTGGAATTTTCACACACAACACTCCATAGAGTTTACTAAGACTGATGAGGTAAAGAAAGAGTATCCAGTGAGCATCAGTTTGAGCTGACAGAAGAGCCACAGCAACTCAGATAACCACTCTGTACAAATGTGGCGAAAAGAAAATCATCTCAGAATGCACCACACATCAAACCTTGAGGCGGATGGACTGTAACAGCAGAAGGCCACTGCTTTCTGCTGAGGCACACAGATAGTATGGTCAGAATTTCGCTCCAACAGCACGCATCCACGGACCCAGCCTGCTTTGTGTTGACAGTCCAGGCTGATGGAGGTGGTGTAATGCTGTGGGGAATGTTTTCTTGATACATTTTTGGCCCATTAGTTCCAATTAATCATTGCTTGAATGCCACAGCCTATTTGAGTATTGTTGCTAGGTATGTGCATCCTTTCATGGCCACAATTTACACATCTTCTAATAGCCACTTCCAGCATGATAACGTACCATGTCACAAAGCAAAAGCCATCTCAAACTGGTTTCATGAGCATTGCAATGAAACAAAAAAAATTCCTCCCTCACTCACTCATTTCACATGTTGCTTGTTGCAGCATAATATGTGAAATAACAGCTGTGGAAAATGACTGCAGTCATTTTAAATAATTGCTAACATCTGAAATAATTGTTTCTTTAAATATGCCAATAAGCTAACAGAGCTAATCAGTGTTGAATGCTGATGAGGACTCATTGTCTTATTTTAACCCCTTAGTGAATGATGTGACATGTTATTTGTCAGAGAAATATGTTTTCATTGTTTCTGGACCAGAAACCAGGAGCAAAGTATAACATAAACTTACTTGCCAATACCAGCAAAACCATCACATGTCACTGAATTGTCTGTATATTTTCTCTGTCTTCCTGTGATTAAACATAAGTACTCGAATGGTGATCTCAGTATTTCAAATACTGGTATCTCAAATGAGTAGTCGAGTATCAAGTTGAGTACATCCCTATTATTTACGCCACTTAATTGCAACACAGAACAGACAAAATAAAATGAATAAATTGCTGATTGCTAATTGCATGTTTCAACATATTGCAACATGCTGCCCCAGCAAGAGTCCTAAATGCAAAGGCTAATAATCACTTATTGTTTTGTAGATTTTCTGCTTTTACATTCTATGTATTGTTGCTCCTTGAGGAATTAAAAAAAAAGAGATTTTTGTTTTCCATAATGTTTCTATGCAGTACAGCTGTAAAGAAAAGGTTTAGATCTCCATCTTCTGAAATGCACAAATTGAGTTGTTCACTATCATTTAATGAACACGTCATGTGTAGTGGAGTTTGAGGCACAGGTTCAAATCCCAGTAGTACCACATGCTGTCCTGTGGCTGGAGGCCATCAAGAACACAACTGGCCTTGTTCCCATCCCTGCATCACCAACTGACAAGATAGAAAACCAAGCCATCATTGCTGCCTGGTAAAACTAAGTGATTATCATAGTTTAAATAAAACTGAGGTGCAGCCTTCATTATCTACACGATAAAGAGTGAGTGGAAATGAGAGGAAAAGAATTTTAGCCAAAGGTGCCAAGTGTTGGGAAATTACAGAAATGTATAATGTAAAAAAAGGTATATAGTACACACATACTATAACTAAAGGAATGCACTGTAGGTACATGGGTGTCTTGATGAACAGTGCTCCTATATATTTCTGTACTTATCTCTGTGTGTGTGTGTGTGTGTGTGTGTGTGTGTGTGTGTGTGTGTGTGTGAGTGAGTGAGTGAGTGAGTGAGTGAGTGAGTGAGAGAAAGAAAGAAAGAAAGAAAGAGAGAAAAAGAAAAAGAGAGAGAGAAAAAGAAAAAGAGAGAGAGAGAGAGAGAGAGAGAGAAAAAGAAAGAAAGAGAGAGAGAGAATGAAAAAGAGAGAGAGAGAGAAAAAGAGAAAGAGAAAGAGAGAGAGAGAGAGAGAGAGAGAGAGAGAGAGAGCAAGAGAGAGAGAAAGAAAGAGAGAGAGAGCAAGAGCTCTCTAAAGCTATGAAGCCCGGGAACATACCAACGCCACGAGAGACGTGCCAAATGCCAAAGCCTCAAATTCACTTCCAGAGCTAAAAACTGCACAGGGTTGCCCAACACACACAAACACACACACAAACACACAAACACACACACACACACACACACACCTCATTATGTCATTCAACAAGTTCTAACCAGGACAATTCATTTTTGCCATCAATGAGGACATAATGGTCCTTATTCAGTTTTATCAGTTTCATCTTTTTTTTTTTTTATCTCAACAACCTGAAACATGCTTTATTTGATTAAATAGTCTAAATAATGATCTATATATTCAATATTACCTCTACCAATCCAAATCCATGTAGAAGAATTGTACATGTGCAGTACTGAGTTATAATTATAATTAGACAAAAGCACTTGTATTCTATTACTGGGAGGACTTTTTCATAGATATGCAATGGCTCGAGTCAATGCGCCACCTAAATCCATTCCTTTATATGCTCACTACCACAACATCTGCACAAATTAGGGCATGTTTCATGTAAATGATGTAGAAATGAAGGGTAAATTGGGGTGTGTTGTCTGCAAATGAAATGTAAATAAGGGACTAGGGGCAGGTGCTTGTTTCCATTCCCATGAAGCAGATTCATCAACTGCACTCATATCGTCACTTGTTTCAATGCCGTACAACGGTTCCACTGATCAAACCGCAAAGTGGATCTTATGTTGTTCCAGCTATTCCAATCTGTTCTCGTTTTGACATAACTTGATCAAGAAGGGTCAACGAGTTCACCTAGTTTGGTAACTGAATACGCATTCACTGTTATATTCACGTATATCTCCTGCTAATATGACGCAGCACTGTTTTGGGTTGTGCTGTGCACAAAACAACAATGTTCTGCTGGGGAAAGCCGAGGGAAGCAAAAGTAGTATTATGGGATCAACACGAAGCAAAGGCAAACTTCCTTGCTTCTTCTCCAAACCAAAACACAGTGAAGTAGGGAGAGATAACTGTTTTGAGAAAGACAGAACAAGTACAGTTAAACTCCAGCATCCTCAGACACACCAATTAGCAGTGTTTGGGTCGTCCTGGTATCTCTTTCACCTCTCACTTTAAGGCTCTAATTCTCTCATTCAACACGGTATGGTCTTCTTCCTCCCTCTTACACACATACATAAACTCTCTCCTGCACATATACCTGTAATGCCCATCCTCACAGAGTGGTCCAATTTGAGCTAGATGTTACAGCCCAGTCAAGAGAAGCAGACTAGAGATTCCAGTGGCTTTCACTTAGTCAGTCAATTCTACTGCCTCTCATCTTTAACTGGTCGAGATCGTGCTATAGGTCTTAGGTGTAGTGTGTATAGGCCATCTTTTCAAACCTGTTTCACAATATTTGAAAACATTTTCTGGATGTATAACATAAATCATGACTACTTATAACAAATAACACACTTCTGCACATTGTAAAGTACAATTACTGTTTATTTACTGAATTTAACATATCGAAAAAATGAACATAGAACTGCCCACCCTGCGATGGACTCGTAACCTGTCCAGGGTGTATTCTGCCTTCCGCCCAATGTCCACTGTGATAGGCTCCCTCCACGACCCAGAAAGATAAGCGTAATATCGTATTTAAGTGCGTTTTCTGTGGAGGATGTGTTCATTTATTTTCACCAAGAAAATCAACAAAACATGTAATTTGATGGGGGGGAGGTGTCCAGGCTCTCTTAATCTTCAGGGATCATCAGGATTCACCAGGCTGAAACCTCAAAGGTACACAACACAAGAGTGTTAGACGTATTTTAATGTAACTTCATGTAAGACATACGTCCGGATGTAGGGCTGAATAATTTGGGGAAAATGTGTAGTTACAATATTGAGATTGTGATTTAAATTGTGATTATTTTCTATAATTTAGGTCCAGACCATTTTTTTTTTAAGTCAAGAAGACCAAACACTTGAATGCTGAGTTCAGGGTACTACATGGCCAGCTAGTTGTGGTGGTGTCATCAACTATTAAAATAATGACTTAAAAATCCAGCCCCCCCCCCAAAAAAAGTAACAAAAAAAATAAATAAAAAAAAACAAAACAAAACACAAAAATAAAAAAAGTACTGAGTAATTTATAGACCTGCAGTGGAATCTCAGCATCTATCACTACAGGAACTAAAGCTTACTTACCTCTATTCTTCTCTTTTTCTGTTTCTGGTCTACAATAAAATGC